TATGGGCGAGAGAGAGAGAGAGAGTTTATTAATTAATTACAATCGTAGTTGGATATCCGCAAAGTCACGAGATGGAGGTGGAGGCTGTCGAAACAAAAACACAAATTATTATGAGCGAGAGAGAGAGAGAGAGAGAGAGAAAGAGTTTATTAATTAATTACAATCGTTGTTGGATAACCGCAAAGTCACGAGATGTAACGTGGAGGCTGTCGAAACAAAAAAAAACAAATTATTATGGGCGAGAGAGAGAGAGAGAGTTTATTAATTAATTACAATCGTAGTTGGATATCCGCAAAGTCACGAGATGGAAGGTGGAGGCTGTCGAAACAAAAACACAAATTATTATGGGCGAGAGAGAGAGAGAGAGTTTATTAATTAATTACAATCGTAGTTGGATAACCGCAAAGTCACGAGATGGAACGTGGAGGCTGTCGAAACAAAAAAAAAAACAAATTATTATGGGCGAGAGAGAGAGAGAGAGTTTATTAATTAATTACAATCGTTGTTGGATAACCGCAAAGTCACGAGATGGAACGCGGAGGCTGTCGAAACAAAACACAAATTATTATGGGCGAGAGAGAGCGAGAAAAATTATAATTACTTACTGAGGATGAAAGGTGGCAAGAGATTTTTAGCAGTCCGGATATTTTATAATGGCCAATGAATTTTCACTGTAAATGAAGTAGGTAGGTAATATTCAGCGAGGAGAAAATGATTTTGGAGCTGGGGTCGGGCAGGATTTAGTCTCACGAAGAGTTGAGACTGGTTAAAACCTAAACCGGAGATGAGCCGATCCGAAAATAATCTGATCAGGGCTCTGGGAGGCTCCAAAAAACGGACTTAATCCGCGCTCAAATAAAGATTAGCTTAAGCCGATATCTAAGCCGGGGCTCTGGGAGTGGCCCCTGGTTTACAGTGCCCTCCAAAATGACGGAATCGGAAACATGACCAATTCTAGACATGCGTTGCCAAAGTCTTCTTTTTTTTGGGAATTGGTCTTTCTTCTGGACTTTGTCTTCATATTTTACTTCACAGGGGTTGGCACTATGGAAAAAATGCCTTCCTGGAAGATTTGAAGGGTCATCTGTGACGTAGGGCTCATCGTCCATGATGACCACTTTTCCCCAAATTTTCTTCAACTATTTCTTGCATCACATATGAATCATTGCATTTTGTATCGGTTTGTAATTTGGTGCTGTTTTTTTTCCCTGGCTACAATCCCTAGTTTATGGACTTTGATTTTGCTTAGATAGCTTTTTGAAATGTTGACCTTCCTTTCCGCTGCAGCCATTGTCGTTGAGGGACGATTTTTGAAGATTTTTTTTATGCAATTTTTGACTTGAGTTGGCATTTGAATGAGGTATGTATAGCTTCTTACTTGAAAAATTGCCAAGTGATTTTAGAATCATAGTTTGTTCGATTTTTGTGAAACTCAGTCACTCTTTTTTTCAACTCTTGCAATTCAACCCACGGTTTTCTAGTCTTAGCCATGACTCAATAATTGGTGACATATATCAATGGAAAGCTTATAACTTGGTCTATTCAAAAATAATTTTTTCGAAATTTAATTTCGCTGTATTCCCGCCTAGCGCGCCTTTTACGGGGCAGTCAAAAACCTTAGTGGATGCTCTTTATTTGGCTATGTAAGGATTAAATAAATTTTTCAAAGTTTATGGCAATCATATCTCATCATCGGCCAGGCTAACTTAAACCAATTCATCTTTCGTTTAATCATATATGTTTAAATACGCATCGCGATAATGACATAATACAGTAATATGATGCATTACTTGAGATTAAACTGCTACTTTACATAGCTTGACTAACTACGCTTTTCAGTCTAGCCATCAAATTAATTTATGCAAATGACCAGGCTTGATTTATATATACTTTCAATTCATATGTAATTCACCCTTTTTTAAATCATATAAAAAACATTCATTTGTACTCTCAATTGACGTGTGAATACTAATAATAAATTGCGAGCTTGATGAAACCAAAGTAAAAAATATGGCTTTGCAAAAATTGCAGGAGCACGATTTCTTTTACATGATATGTATGATACAATGCAGGAATAAGCACTTTTTGCCATTTTTTTAGGTACGATCCATAATATTTACACATGTATCATATTTACATAAGTGCACATTTTTACCTGGATTGGAAGCATTCCGTGAGACGACCCACACACATATGAGTATTTATAACATACAAAACTGCGATAAAAAAGGTCTAATGACAATTCATTCAATTCAATTCCATCACTAAAATAACACCAATGGGTTGAAAATACATATTGACGTCAAATAAATTCATGTAATTTACTCCCAAGCTATGCATGCATCCCTAGATAAATGGTAAAATCTTAGCAATTATGACAATGAAATCTGAATATAAAAGAAACACTCTTTGCCATTCAACTAGTCATTCTTAAATATTCAGTTTGCCAGCCAGATTTCAATCGGTATTTAGATAAACACCAGGATGAAATCCTATATCGCTGCTGCCTTTCTTGGTTTCCTCGTAGTGGAAATATTCGCGGAAGAACGCTATCAATCATCAATCATCTTCTGCCGAATTTCTTAGTGATAATTCCCCTACGGATGAAATTAATTCATCCGTGGTGGGTAACTCGGATGGTGCTTCAGGTATTTACACAACTGATGCGTGTAAATATAATATTATTATGTAATATTATAGGGTGGTTTAAGTGTAAGGTTACAATGAAAAATTTTTCAATGGTATAAATTCTTAAATTTCCAGTAGTTACGGATATGGGATTGAGATTTTTATTCATTTTTTTCTAAGCTTATGGAACACTGATGACAAAATTCTTAAAATATTGAATTTCAGAGGCAAAATTTCGATAACTAATGGAGATTTGCTAATTTTTCCCACTAAAAAATTTTCTATTGTAATCTCGCATTTAAACCACCCTGTATATTCTACAATGATGGTATTCATTATTTCTTCGTATCCAAAGTATCTTAAAATATTCAGGAAAAAACAAGGTAGTAAAAATCGTGTGCGTAGTAACGGGATTTTCGATAACAAAATTTTACGACATCTCGTAAGTTATTTTACGGTACGAAGAATACTAAAGTTACGAGGAAATTATGAATACCTGAATACCCTCAATATATATACATATTTGCTCCTAACATTAGTAGCTAATAATTTCCGTCTTTAGATTTTTACAATTCTACTGATACAATTTCAGTTCGCAACAAGCGGCAATACGGGTACGGAAAGGGAGGAAATTGGACACCTCGATGCTGCAATTATGGATATAATTTCTCCCCAGGCTGCCAATACAACGGTTTTTGGAATGCAAATAATAATCCTTACTGTCGTGGTTATGGTAGAGGTAAGAGATTTATATAACAGATGAATTATTATTAATTTAATTATAACTAATTTTTCGTTGTTTCCTGGTGCAGATCGAGGCGGCTACGGTGGATATAACCGAGGGTACAACCGTGGTGGTTACAACAGTGGTGGTTACAACAGCGGAGACGATGATTACGTACAATGTACCTATGCTGGTCAAGCCAATTGTTATGGAAATCAAATCTGAGATGTTAGCATTACCGAGGCCAGGAATGTCTCAACAAAGTGAATTATGACACTAGCGTAAATTGTGTAGTACTTTGAAACCAATAAAAAGACAATCGAAAAAATGTGCTCCTTATCTTTTGTTAAATTTCATATTTTTTTTCATATTTTTCATATTTTTCATAACTTTCACTATTGCAAAATTTTTGCTTCATGGCGAATACATTCCAAACAAAAAAAAATATGTATATATGTATATGATAGTGAGGCAAAATTATATTTGTATTTGAGGAAATTTAGACTTGTATTTTAGGCAAAATACATGTACATATTTTTGGTTAGGTTACGTATTTCTCGTATTACGTATTTCGTGAGAAATATCTACGTATGCATCCATTGGATTGTATGTGTTACGTCGAGGAGATAAATATGAGCGATGAGCGACCTGCTTGACACTACTCTCAATCTCACACACACACACACATACATGCATACAAGGCAAAGTATGTATGTACCTGAAACAACAGCACTTTGTTCAGGAAAAGTATGAAAGTTACACTAGGAAAAGATGCATATATGTATGTACCTAGTTTTCGACGGTCAATTCTCGGAAAGACCGAAATAACTGAAACTCGGATCAGATAGGCTGCGGTCCTTTAGCGTCCTTTAGCGTCCGACCGGCCGTATATAAACGGTCACGGTCCACCACCACCACAAATCCAAAACTCTATGTTCTAAAGCAAACGCTGTTATGCACAAGTATTTTTATGAATGTCTCACGTGTCCTCAAATGAGAAGGGAAGGAGATCTGAAATACGTATCAAATTACCTCTAAATTAGCAATAAATATAAAATATTAATTTTCCCCCTAATAATAATAAATATTGCATGCACAAAATAAGTGCATGTAATATGCAAGACGTAAATAAATGAATAATCGTTACATTGTACATAATAATTATTAACCGTTTCGTTACCAATTTTATTGTTTACGTAAAACACACCAATAATAGTTGAAATAATACAAATGCATCCACCACATTCCTCACGAACCTAAACAGATTACTTGATTTATGACCGAATTATGTACACTATTTCTTTCAGTCATCACTAATAATATGATGACTAGTAATATGATGACGATATTATCGACATCGTGAACGAGTGTCAAAATCAAAGGTCGATCGACCACGTATTTAGCTGACCAGGCAGACAAAAGACATAACCGTGTGCTCACATTTGCAATATAAAGTTAATTAATGATTATGTTTTTTGTGATTGAAGTGTCACTGATTAAATCAACACACAAGTTTTTGACATGTTCAATTTGAGATAAGTTTATAAATTAGATTAGTTCAATAGTGCCACGTACATATTTATGTCAAATGATTATTCTTAACATACGTGTACTGAGCAGCATATTTAAGCTGAGCTGCACTCATTAAACGTTCCAGTTTCACTTTCAGTTCATCACTCGACACTTTACAGAACAACGTCGCTAAAATCTACCCGTATTTAATTTTGTTTCAAGGCGTTCACATTTTTTGCAAGGATGGAGATTGCTTCATTCCTTCTAGGAAGTGTGGCACTTATGATACAACTATTTGCAAAACAGTCGGAAATCGCAGATATTGCAAAAACTACGGTAGAACTGGAAAATGACTCGAGTTTACCTCTCCCCAAAACTTACGACTTTATAATTGGTAAGGGATTTTATGCAGAAATTTGGCTGGGTTTTATGCAGAGAATTGGCTAGATTTTATGCAGAATAATTTATACCGAAACAATTTGTGTACAAAATATGCAGAATTATGCATAATTGTGCTAAATCTTTATGCATAATATTTCTTGTCAGAAGTTTTATGCAAAATAGTTCATACTTCTTCTGTACAAACCATTTGTCCGGCCATTTATGTAGAATTATGTCAAATTCGACACGATTTTCACCCAGGATAAGTCTTTTTAGTATTTTAATTTCTGGTTGTTTTTTCTCCAACAGTCGGAGCAGGAACCGCGGGTTGTTTACTGGCGGGCAGATTATCAGAAAAATTCTCCGTCCTACTTTTGGAGGCTGGTGGATCTCCCCCACCAGCAGCGGCGGTCCCATTTTTCTCTGGAACTGTCGGCAGCGATCCAGACATTAATTATTTTTTTAAGACGGTGGACATGACGTATGGAGGGGTAATAAACCCTTGGAACCAAATGTAGCAAAGGGGTGAAAACACATGGAATTGTCTTTGTGGCACCCCCACAACATCTTTCAGAACTTCCCCATCATTGCCAACATAGTCTCATTTTGCCCCGTTGCGACACCCCCACCCGCGTAGTTCAAACGCACACGACAATATCTTTCAATCGACACCCGACATGACAAAAGTCATTTTCTCGACATTCGACACCTCCCACACGGTCATAGAGTCGTCGCACGTCGAGATGATGGTCATTTCTGAAATCCTCGTCTAACCATATGTCTAAAGGGTGGCAACAAAAAATTCCACACCTCTGACCGTTGGCGTCATGACCGTGGCGCCGTGACCTTACGACCTACAATGCCAATCTTCGAACTCAGCCGTACTTCAAAAATTAGAAACACGTTGGCGAAAACTCCATGTCCAAATTTGAATCCGTTGTAAAGTTTTCGTGGATACATACAGACGGACGGACAGACAGATGGACAAGACATTTCCATAAAGGGGTTTTCACCCCTTAATAATGCATATGATCGAGGTTTCTACATAGTTTCCAAGCATTTTTTAAATTTAAGGTCGCGACTGTTCACACCGGGAAAATGCTGGGAGGGTCGGGATCTCACAATGATTTGGTGCACAATCGTGGCAGTCCGAAAGATTATGATAACGTTGCCCGTCTCCTAAACGACAGCAGCTGGGAGTATGAAAATGTTGTGGAATTTTTCAAAAAAACTGAAACATGGCAGGGAACACAGCATGGAGAGGAAGATTTGTCGAGTTAGTGAATGAATTTAGAAATATGTTATAAGCAAAAATGAATGCATCAAATAAAAAATTTATTTAGGATACTACGGAACGGATGGACCAATTGTAGTTCAATCGGTGGAATTTCCTATTCTTCCAATTTGGTTTGACGCTGGAAGGGAATTGGGATTTAAGATTGGCGATCCAAACGGATATCAAACTGAAAGTGAGTACTTAATACAGAAATTTTGCAAAAAGTCAATGGTATAAAATTTTTTGCATAATTTCAAAACTATTTTATGCAAATTTTCTTTCAGGTTTTCAAGCATCCAACACACCAACACGTAACGGGCAGCGGAGCAGCACCTACGCCGAATTTGTGAAGCCGTACGAAAATACGAGAGAAAATTTAACCGTAGTCCGATATGCGAACGTTTCTGAGGTGATAATTTCATTTTTTACCATAATAAGTTTTCGACTGCACTCTAAGAAACCTGGTGATAACGATCACCGCGCGGTGGTCATATGTGACTCTACCGGAATGGTGACAGCTGTAACCACCGTACGGTGACAACTGCACCACCGCACAGTGACTGATCATCACTAAGCTGGTGATGGGCATCTACCCTCCGGTGGTCTTCTGCCACCTGCCGGTAGAGTCACATATGACCACCGCGCTGGTGATAAAATTTCTTAGAGTGTGGAAACTTATTTTTTGTCAAAATGTATCAGGTTTTACTGAACGCTAACAATGAAGCCTACGGCGTTGCATACACCCGTCACGGACATCCTCAAATAAGTTATGCATCCAAAGAAGTCATCGTGAGCGCTGGGGTTTTTTCGACACCGTTACTTCTCATGAAATCTGGAATCGGACCAGTGGAAACTTTAGAGGCTGCAGAGGTATGTATAAAAATTGTCATTCAGGCGTCCATCAATTGGAATGTTTTGTAAACAGGCGGCACAATCAATGTCACTGTAGCCATTTATTGTTAAGGACACTCAAAATCTGATTCCAAAAGTAAGCAATGTAAAATTTTGGGATGGACTTGAAATTCGAAATTTAAGCATTTAATGAGCTTAAAAATGTATGTCTGTTATTTTTTATATCGCTGTGACCTTTGTTTGGACACTATGTGACCTGACTTGAACTTGAACTCAAACCACTTGAAACTCAAAATTTTATTTGTGGTCACATGGTGTCCAAAAAAGGTCACGGCGATACACAATAACATGTTTACATAGACATACATTTTTAGGCTCAATAAATGCATAAATTTCAAGTCGATCGCACAATTTGACATTGTTAACTATTGGAATCGGGTTTTGAGTGTCCCTAAAAATTTAAATAGCTTTAGTGGCATTGATTGTTCTGCCTGTTTGTAAATTTGAATGCATATAAGCAAAGTGTTGAAATTTTTCCAGATTCCTGTAAAGGTTCCGCTACCCGCTCTTGGTGAAAACTTGTCGGAACACCCGGCCCTCTGGCTTGGACCGTGGTATCCGGAATCTGATAATATTTCCCTGTTTCATCAAGTCATGCATCCAGACGCCACAGAAGCTTATGTTGCACAATATCTGCGTGGCGATGGACCTCTCGCTTATTTGGGGGAAGGTCCACAAATGTTTAAAGTAACATCAAGGGCGCGACCAGATTGGCCCAACCTCTCGGTCACAATCCATTTGCAACCAATTAGAGACCCTGCCGATCGCCCAACAGTGTTCTTTTACGTTGTCCTGGGCAGACCACAGAGTAAAGGAAGGGTTACTATGAATTCTACCGCGTACAAGGCAGGGATACGAGACGATGTGCAGTTAGCAGAGATCGATTTCAATTTTTTGAGCCACCCGGACGATGCGGAGGATTTATTGGAAGGTACATAAAATTTAGGTTGGATACAGTATGTAGCATAGTCAATGTTACGATGGCATAATTCTTATATCGATTAGGACAGGTTTGAGGTCTAAAATAACCAACGCGGAGAAAATTCGAAAACTGGAATATATTTACGTTTGCGTATTAAGACGGTCAGTATGCAAACGTATATTTCAGTACGAGGTGACGATTTTAAACCTCAAATCAAAAAATTCATGCTGGCGTCACCAAAATCGTACACGGTCCAACCAAAACTCACTTTCCTTCTAAACGCTTGTCGCATCCGACAAAAAACGTTAGAAAGTTAAAAAAACATCCACAAAGTTTTTTTTCTACGCATCGAATTTGTTCAAAAAAATAATCGTGACCTTTGACCTGTCTGCGACATACAAAATCTACGACGAGGAAATTGTCTGTATATACTTTTGAGATTTTTGAACGGAGTTTAAAATTTTAAAAATAACGAGACCATGTCGATATAAAAATTCTGTCATCGTAGCATTAAATATGTTACATACTGTATTACAAAAAACAATTACTTAACATTTCAATATATTACAGGAGTTCAACTTGTCTTTAACATTACGGCAACGGAAGCTTTCCAAACAAATTTCAAACTAACGTATGGTCAATCACCAAGTCCAGGTTGTTTGGATTTCCCATCTGATGAATATTGGAGATGTCATATCCATAATGAGATCAAGACTTGGATTCATATGGTTGGATCGGCAAGTTTAGGTCCAGATTCGGGAGATGCAACCACTTCCGTGCTCGATACGAGGTTTAGAGTTCGTGGGGTGAAGGCTCTTCGAGTCGTGGATGCCTCGGTTTATCCAGAAGTACCAAATGGAAATCTGAACGCTCCAGTAATGTTGGCAGCAGAGAAGGCGGCAGCAATTATTCTGGAGGATTGGGACGCGTCTGGTCCACCACCCGGGGATAATGGTGGAGGGTTCACGGGACCAAATTTGCTCAAGACGATCATTCTAACAGCGTTTGTGATGTTTTATTTGTAAATATTGGATCTAGTGTTTAAAACACTTTATTTAATTGGAATATTAAAAAAAATTAGAACCAAATGCTGCATGAATATTATAATTGTCTTATATCTCATTTAATTCACATATATCGTTCATATAAATTTACAAATATAAATTTAAATACACTTATAAATTTTATGCAACAATCACATCCCTAATACAGCGGTGTAACTTTACAATCTCATAGGATTGGAATTTGGTGAAATCATGTAAATAAAATTTTGAAATATATAACTATATTTAGATTATAAAATGTAACTCAAATTTTTATAATTTATACTTAATTAATATAACTAAGGAAGAGGGACACACTGGGTGCGAGTCACACAATTAGTTGTTCGTTGTCCTCCTAATTTTATTTGGGCGGTCTAAGAACTCTAAGTAATAAAATTGAGGTTTCGGTGTTTTTCTTAAATTTAGTGCGGTACTGTCAGTGTTTAAAGTGTTATTAAGTGGGTTCTATGGCTGGTAAATAGTGGTATTTGCCACACGAAAATAAGATGGTAGGAAATGGTCTATACCCATTTGGAAGATTTTGAGACAATTTTTCCATTTAAAAGATTAACATAATTAAATTAGTTATTATGTATAAAACCAAACAGTTCGGAAAAATTAAGAAAAATATTTAACAACCATAAATTACGAGTACATAGTGAATAAAGAATTTGCCAATGTTAGGTACTACATACATAAATAAGCGTCACAAGTAATATTTCTTACTGATTTCTAATGCTTTATACCAGTTATCCTTTTTATATCTACATATGTACATATATACATATGGATGTAACATTTTTCGTTCCATGCAATTATAAAATTTACCGGTACCGCTAATCTTGCAAGATCTTGCTTACACATCAATGATCAACCGTGTCACATGAAACCAAACAAATCAGCTCTACCGATTAGAAAAATCAAGCACCGATAAGATTGTATTCATAAGCCAACAATTATCCAAACAGGAGACCATTGAACCTTTATCCGTCAATCATTTATTTGATTCAATACCAAATATCAAACCCAGCTATCTCTTCGTCCACATTGAATTTCCTATTGTTCCAGAATATTATTCAAATTACGCGGAAGCAACATTCCCAACAATTCTGGTTTTCTTCAATATTATTCATCCCTCAATTACAGCAATTCCCTGTATTGCATGCTATGATAACAGGAAGGTATACAAACTGTCCAATACCCTATCCTTATCCGACATCTGGGATGCCTGGGACTCCACAAATTTAATAGACCTCAAAGGTGGGCTCGTAAAAACTGGAAGGGCGTCACTAAACCCTTCGGCTATTTGTGGGTTCACTCTTTCCCAATTACATATAGATGATAGCCGCCACACGTGCATATTACACCATTTGGGGAGAAAATATAATTTTACATTTAAAAGGCAAGGGGATGAATCGGTTTTTAACCAAAGTAGAAAAGACTTCATGGGATTTATCGGCATTGGGTGGTCGATGTCGACACAAGTTATTATAGAGTATCCACACATAGAAATTTATAATATAGATTCACGTGCAATTCACTTTGTCGTCGTAACAAGATTTCCAAACGCTCTGCGCAGCATTTGGGGTTTCTTTACTCCGTTTGATAGTTCTGCCTGGTGGTCGATTCTGTTCACCTGTGTCGGCATAAGCTTGGTTTTACAGTTTGAGGTGAATTGCTTGAGCAGGCGATTTAGTGGTGCTAGAGCTTTGAAAGATTTTGTTATCGTTCAGGCCCTCCTGTTTGGACAACCTATTGATGGCGAAATTATCAGGAATATTAAAAACAAGCAGGTCCAACGCCTCCTATGGGGAATTTGGTTGTTTGTTTGCTTTATTCTAATGGAGAATCTGTACAAGGGAAGAGTGTATTCCGATTTGACGGTTTTGTATCCCCCAAAGGTTCCGAAAACTTTTGACGAGCTTGTTGCCGCTAACATGACAATACTTACTACTTCCCAAGGTCATTATACTCTCCCAGGAATGAAGGACATACGTACAATATCGATGATAAAGGAGTTCGTAATTCCGGAAGTGTTAGATAAGAATTTTGGAGGAAGCTTCGGCAGATTTGTGACCGAGATAAACTCTAGAATAGTCTATATTCACGGGGGCATGGACGATATTTCTGTGGTGAAAAATATTTCGAAGTTCTTAAAAATTGGGCGGAATCAGACTGAGACGAAGGAAGATTTTGCCATCATGGACTTTACAACGATTTGGAAATGAATTCAGAATCGCTAAATATTTTTGGCAAGCGTTTAGTAATTCAAGGAGATCCGGATATGTCAGTACAGTTCAGTTTTCTAACTTATAGCCTGAGAAATTTCATTTGTTGCAAGATTCATAAGGCTCTACGACATTTAACACAGGCGGGTATTTGGAATGGGTATATAGACCTTTTTCTGGCACAATACAAGCTTACGTTTATGAAGAAGTTCGGTAGACAAATATACTCCAAATATGCATTCAAACTGAATTCGGATATTAGGACGGCAAAAATATTTCATGGACGTAGTTCTCGAGAAGATGGTGATGAAAACTCGTTGGGTGCATTATGGATCGTTTTGCCGTGGTGTTCCGTCGTAGTTTCAATGGCGACAGTAGTCTTGGTTTGGGAGTTTGCCTCGATTTGTAAGGGTGTGAATTTAACGGGTTTTAGATTGGGTTTTATGCATTTACGTGTTTCGGCCATCCAACACATCAACACGTAACGGGCAGCGGAGTAGCACCTACGCGGAATTTGTGAAGCCATACGAAAATACTAGAGAAAATTTAACCGTGGTCCGATACGCGAACGTTTCTGAGGTGATAATTTCATTTTTTGCCATTATAAATTTTCGACAAGAAGATGGAAGCCTTGTTTTTGTCAAAATCAGGTTTTACTGAATGCTAACAATGAAGCGTACGGAGTGACATACACGCGTCATGGAGACCCTCAGATACATAAGTTAAGAATCCAAAGAAGTTATCGTGAGCGCTGGGGTGTTCTCAACACCATTACTTCTCGTGAAATCTGGAATCGGACAAATTAAAACTTTGAAGGTTTATTGAGCTTAAAAATAGATGAACTTAACCTGCAGGGAAGGCGGCAGCAATTTTCCTGGAGGATTGGGACACCACGTGCACATCAGAAAATAATCGTGGAGGTTTCACAGGACCAAATTTGCTCAAGACAATCATGCTAACAGCGTTTGTGATGTTTTACTTTTAAAGATTGGAATATTTTTAAAAAAAAGTTAGACCCAAATGCTGTCTGAATATTATAATTGTCCCATATCTCACTTAATTCATGAATATCGTCCATAAACAAAATCACAAGTTTTACTGGAAATTTAAATCCGCTTATAAATTTAACGCAACAATCATATCCCTAACCCGGCGGTGTTACTTTACAATCTAATAGGATTGAGATTGGGTGGCATCATGTAAATGAAATTATGAACTGTAACACTATATTTAGATTACAAAATGTAACTCAAATTTTTATAATCTATAATATTACTTAAATGTAGATAATTAAGACACTTTGGTTGCGGCTCACACATTTGGTTGTGCGTTGTCCTAATTTTATTTAGTCGGTTTAAGAACATTATAAGTAACAAAATATTAATCAAATTGAAAATCGATATTGTAATTTCGAAAAGTCCGTCCCGTGTAATTTTCCGTGATATTCCTGCATTCTGATTGGCTGTTCGCTATTTTGTAACTTTTGTCCATCCGCAACGAATGACGAGGAACATTTTTACTTTTTTTGTTCTCAGGAGGGGAGCTTGCGAGGTTGATAATAACAGATCTTGATGCCGTTTGGATATGTGGTAGGGTCCCATGAGTGAAGTAAAACCCTGAAGTGGTTTGACTCCATGGCCCCATTTGCGCCCGCCACACCCACTCAAAAATGCCCAAAAAACGCTTTCACTCCAGTTTTCACTCACTCAAATCCACGCCAAAAATCCAATTTTACTCGGATTTTGAAATTTCTTTCACCATTACACTCCCAGATAGTTGCTTTCTTCAATCCAATATCAAACTCAATTTTGCTGATGACTATTTCGCAGGCATAATTTGCGTTGTTGATTACTACAACAATCCTCATTCCGAATTGCAATTTTTAAAAATACTAAAAATTTCGAAAAAATTGAGTTTGATATTGGATTGCAGAAAGCAACTATCTGGGAGTGTAATGGTGAAAGAAATTTCAAAATCCGAGTAAAATTGGATTTTTGGCGTGGATTTGAATGAGTGAAAACTGGAGTGAAAGCGTTTTTTGGACATTTTTGAGTGGGTGTGGCGGGCGCAAATGGGGCCATGGAGTCAAACCACTTCAGGGTTTTAGTTCACTCATGGGACCCTACCACATATCCAAAGGGCATCAAGATCTGTTATTATCGACCTCGCAAGCTCCCCTCCTCAGTAAACTTCCGCTAATGCACTTTCCTTTTCGCCACAAACTCTTGTCTGCACTCTAAGAAACCCGGTAACTAAGTTATTACCAGGCGGAGTATCTATGTATGTAACTCTACCGCATGGCAATTTATTTATTGAGTGTTACCAAACCGGTAATAACCCTGGTCGCAAAATTTGAAAATATTACCACTTGGTAAGTAATTTTCTACCACTCAATAATAAATTGATTACCATGCGGTAGAGTCGCATAGATACTCCGCCTGGTAATAACTTAGTTACCGGTTTCCTAGAGTGTGGCTTCTTCATCATTACAGCACACAGTGGTCCGATGATGCTTAAAATGGAATGGGGAACGAAACTTCTTGCCACACTTTATACAATGATGCGGGTACCATTCACCCCTTCCGGGTGAGAGAGTTTATGCTTGTGTAAAGCTTCTTGAGTTGTTGACTTGTGGGCACAAAGGTCGTGGGTTTTATGTAGTTTTAGGTGGTGAGAGATTCTCAGGAGGTGGCTGCGAAATGTGGCACCACAGAATAGCAAGAAACGGAATTTTCAGTCTGTGAAAGAATAATAAAATTTTAATGTACAGGGTGGTTAAAATGTCACCCTACAATGGTAAATTTTTGGATTGGAAAAATTTGTAAATTGCCATTAGTTACCGAATTTTGTCTCTAAAATTCAATTCAATTAATTAATTTATTAAATTTATTATTTATTTATTTATTTATTTATATTTATTTATTTAAATTTATTAATTAAAATTCAAGAATTTCTTCATCAGTTTCTCATCAGTTTTGATAATAATTATAAAAATCTCAATCCAAAATCTTGTAACTAATGGAGATTCAGAGGTTTTTCCTATTGACAAATTTTCCATTCTAGCGTGACATTTAAACCACCCTGTACATCAATATGATAGGTGACAAATCACGAGTGTAACACTGACTCAGTATATTCACGACCTGTCAATCCATGGTTAACACATTTATGTAACGAAGTATTAAATAAGATAATTGAATTTCCGTGGTCAAATCATTTCTTGCCCGGGTGAAAATCGTATGTCGAATCTGGCATAATTCTACACAAGTGGCGGAACAATGGTTTGTGCAGAAAAAGTATGAACGATTTTGCATAAAACTTCTGACAGGTATATTCTGCAGAAAGGTTTAGCACAATTATGCATAATTGTGTAAATTTTATGGACAAATTCTTTCGGCATAAATTTTTCTGCATAAAGTCCAGCCAAATTTCTGAATAAAATCCCATAAATTTTTCACCCAGGAGCCCATTAGTTACTAAATTTGTTTTGGGTGCCGGGATTGATGAAACGAGTTGGTACATAATCCCTACTCGTTTACCACATCAAGATATAGCTTCAATATTTAAAAGAAATTTCTTACAATTTTTTCTGATGTGCATTCCTCAAGATGATGGATCCACTCATCGTCCGTCTTAAACTGTATCTCGGAGCAGCCGTACGGGCATGAGGTTTTACCCTGGAAATGGACGACCTCCACATGTTTAAGTACTTACCCTTTCGTGGTCATGGGTTTTTCACAAACGTCGCAAAACCAGGATTTTTTTCTCTTTGTGTTCGACTCACAAGGGACACTCACGACCTGTCGTTTGAGTCCAGGGTACCCACTATGTTTTTCAGAATCTACTAGGACTCCAGATGAAGGATCCATTCATATTTCCGTGTAAAACTCATATTTGGCGCCATGGCGTGGCGCCAAACTTAAAAATTTGCATTTTCGACCAATTTCAAACCACCATAACTTTTGCAGTTTATGTCGGATTTTTAAAATTTTATGCTTAAAATGATCAGAAAAGTCGAAATTTTAGAGAAAAAAATAAAAATAAAAAAATTTTAATTTTTGAGATATTTTTAGCATTTTTTCGACGAACCCGAAATTTCGAAATTTTGCGAAAAGTTAAAAGCGATAATTTTGGAAAAAATTTCATAGAATACGAAAGTTGAACTGCTTGTCATGATTTTTGCCAAAAATTTTGAAAATCCGTCCAGGATTTCAAAAGTTACGGCGGTTTTAAAATGAAAAACCATCAAATTTGGCGAATTTGGCGCCACGCCATGGCGCCAAATATGAGTTTTACACGGAAATATGAATGAATCCTTCATCTGGGGTCCTAGTAGATTCTAAAAAACATAGTGGGTACCCTGGACTCAAACGACAGGTCGTGAGTGTCCCTTGTCAGCCGCCTTTAAATTCTTAGAACCTTCTGGAAGACACTTTTTGTTATGACATTTTAACGTCCTGGCCAATTTGAATTCTTTAAGACAAATATCACATTTGAAGCGAATTCCTTTGTGGGCTGAACTAATGTGCAGTTTTCTAGAGAGATTTCTTGAGAAGCGTTTAGCACACTGCGTGCACGAGTAGGGTTTCTCGTCAAGTGGAATGAATCTGGAAGATTGTGTGCAAATATTTACATTAGGTTACACTTCGAAAATTATTCGTAAACTAGTAGTTAAGCCCGTCGCAAGTCATACCATGGTACTAAACAATAAATCATAAGAGTAAGTACAAGCTGACGTTTGTACTATGCATTAATGATCAGGAAAGTCAGTTAGGAACCAATTTACCAAGGGAGCCGAACCTTGAGTGGGAGAAACTTAATCAGACAGTTACGCTTACCCCACACTCAAAGTAATTATTACTACGCGGAATGCATGTACTACTTTACCGTGGAAGGTTTAACTGTTTCAAAATAGAAAGATGAGTATTTTGAAATCCAGCATACGGGTAGAATTTTCCTAATTAACGCTCTATGTATATTTGAATGATTTTTCCAAATTAATATTTCGTGAAACCACCATGAGCCAACAATAAACTCAAATATTTTTCTCTTCATGCCATTAGTGAGATTACGTAGGGTCTCAATTTAGCCTAAGCACATGAATATCAATTTCATGTTTGTAGCATATGAGCGTTTTTGATAGGAGATCTGATGGTAGTAATCTTAGAATCAATTTTTCATCGTAAGGTTCACCCATTTTCTTAATTCAGGTTATGAAAAATTAACCTGAATGAGATTGAACCTCTATTACTTGACATTTTAAAAAATAACTTAACAAAAAAAATACTTTTTGGGTTCGTCTATCCGATTCTGGCAGTAGAATTGAATTCTATTGGCCCGCCTTTGAGAGGGGCAGTGTGAAACATTTGTACAGCTTTTTAATTCACCCTGTAAATACGTACCTAGGCGGTCCTTTCGGTTGGTCATGCGACTTCCGATGGTCTTGCAAGCCCTTCACGGAACAGCACCGGTGTCCACACTTTTCACAAGTAAAGATCCTCTTGTGCGTCTGGAAGCTGGACGTAGTGACGAAATTTTTGTCACACTTGTCACACTGCCATTCCCTGTTAAAGTTGAGAAATTATTTGAGTTTGCAATAAATACATCCAGAAATATTTTATAAAATCAGAAGGGGAAATCCATAAGTCATGTCACGCAAGAAGACAGCCTAAAGCAGAGTTTTTTAATTAGCTACATTTCTAATTAATTGGCAATTGATAATTAGAAAGAAAATATCTTGTCTAATTAATTGGTAATTAGTAATTAAACCCAGGTTGCTAATGAAGCAAATTGATTACAACGTTGACCTTGACCAATTAATTTGTGATTTTCAGTGATTCTTTAATTATTTAATTGGTCATTCAAATTAGCTTCGGTAGTACTAGTTAACGTTAATTAGTAATTAATAATTAGTTCAAACATGCTACGTAATTAGGTTGACTAATTAATTAGCAAGCCCTGGGCTAAAAGTCCAATAATATATTTAAGGCATAATCAAACATCTTAAAGGGTGATTCAGAAAACGGGAATTTCCGCCTGACATAATCTATGCACGCCCCGAAACCGAAGACATGTACAGGAAACCGATTACTTACATTTTCTCGTCAGGCTCCTTCAACGCATTATCAGCGACATTTCTGGCATGCTTTTTACTCCGGAGATGTCCCCTATAATTTCGTCTAGCACGGAAAACTTCGTCACAAGGCTGACATGTTATCTTCACCATCCTTTTACCATGTATCTTAGGATGACGTAGTTTTCTGTGTTGGACAAGTTCCGGGAAACTGAGCTGGTTGTCGTCGCACAAGTCACAGACAAAAGTGATCTGGCCATCGTCGTCCTCTCTAAATTAAGGAACAAATAAGCTTGGTAGAGCATATACATACATACATTCTAACAAGGGACACTCACGACCTGTCGTTTGAGTCCAGGGTACCCACTACGGTTTATAGAATATACTATGGTAGAGGCATTTTAATTAAGCACAATTTAGATTATATCTTGCTGAGAGGCTTATTGGCCGACCTTGTAATGCTTAACAACATTGGAAATTGAAACTTGGATAACTTTATGAATTGTTGACCGATTTTCAAAATTTCGACTGTTTTGGAAAGCCCAGGTCAATTGGCGAAATATAGATTTCCAGATTTTTTAAATTCGACCACACCCTCTCGAAATTAAGGTCACAAGGTCAAAACTGCATAAAATACAATTAATGCATACAGCGGAATTTGAAAGCGCAAAAATCGAGTTGCATGTCGAAAAAATTCCTCGACCCACTGGACACTCTGTACAAGGGGTCGCATGCCCCACCCACAGTGGGTGTGGCCACAGGCGTCTTTTCGATTTCAATGAAACCATGTCATGTGATATATCATTTTTCTCAGGACGATGAGGACGTTACGACTGAACACTTGAAATTCACGAACCACACCCCCAGTGGGCGTGGTCCCCGGCGACTTCTAGATTTTAACGAACCCACGTCATGTGACATATCATTCTTCTCAGGACGATGAGTACATTACGACTGAATACTTAAAATTTACAAACCACACCCCCATGGGGTGTGGTTCTCAGAAATTTTTAGATTTCAATGAACCCACGTCATGGTACATATCATTCTTCTCAGGACGATGAGTACATTACGACTGAATACTTAAAAATTACAAACCACACCCCCATGGGGTGTGGTTCTCAGAAATTTTTAGATTTCAATGAAACCATGTCATGTGATATATCATTTTTCTCAGGACGATGAGTACATTACGACCGAATACTTAAAATTTACGAAACACACCCCCAGTGGGTGTGGTTCTCAGAAATTTTTAGATTTCAATGAACCCACGTCATGGTACATGTCATTCTTCTCAGGACGATGAGTACATTACGACTGAATACTGAAAATTTACAAACCACACCCCCAGGGGGTGTGGTCCTCGGCGAATTCTAGATTTTAACGAACCCACGTCATATGACATATCATTCTTCTCAGCTCGATGAGGACATTACGATTGAATACTTAAAATTCACGAACCACGCCCCCAGTGGGTGTGGTCGTTGGCGAATTTTATATTTTAAGGAAACCATGTCATGTGATATATCATTCTTCTCAGCCCGATGAGTAGACTTCGACTGACTAACTAAAATTTAAAACCGCACCCCAAGTGGGTATGGTTTCACCAATCTAGTGGTATGTTAGCTCTCAATCTGTGTTAACCTGTGTTAACGTCTGCATACGCGGAAAACCAAACCTCAATTTTACTCATCGGCCTCTAGAAAACTAGAGGGTGGTCCCAGACCCTATAAAGTATGCATCTTCTTAATCCTCCCGCCGAAACTTTTCCAACGATACCCCACTTATAGGGTTATGTGAGACTTGGCCTGATGAACTTTTTCGTTTGTGCGAAAAATTTGTTGACCTTGGAAGAATTCAAAAATCCTTATACAAGTCATTCAGATCAGTTTTTATTAAATATGAAGAAAATCTATCGGGGATCGTTGAAATGCGACCTATTTAAAAAATGGTGATGGATGAGCCAACTATGTAACCTGACCTCATGTCATTTTGAGGTCAAGGGGTACGGGTAGGGCTTAGCGCTTCAGGGTGAACCAAAAGCGTACCCTGGGGATTGTCCAAGCGAAGTTTGACCGCTGTGGGCCTACTGGTTGCTTCACAATCGAGGGAGAAAGTTAATCAGTTTTTTAGAAAAAGGTAGTGCTTCCACCTATGCCATTACGTACACGGAGGAGGACGTGGAAATTTTAAAAACTGTCTAAATCGAATAGTTCGGACCCGTTGAGCACGTTTTTGAGCTAAAACAGCAGAAAATAAAATACGACCTTTTTTACCGGCCATAGCTAATGGAAATCGTCAGTATTTAAATTGTTGCCTATACTCTAAGTAAAAATAATTAATATTCACTTAAGGTTAATCACAATAGAGGACTACACAACAATTGGGCAAAATTCATAACAGTTCGGCTAAAATTATCTCCAGCTAAATAAATTTTGTACGACGGTTAAATTTGATGGGTGAATAAATTTGAAGGGATGTTTGAATAAAGTTTGCCTAATAGTTATGCCACACTTCATTTTGCTAAACCTTTAGTAAAATTATTTAGATTGCATAAGCGCCGTTGACAATAGTTTTGTTAGATTGTGTACTGCACTAAGCCCAGTAATTTACTGGCAGTAAAGGATCAAAGCATAGTTAGGATAAAGTGGCAATGGAAAAAACACGGATGAAAAATACGATCAAAAATGTCAGTCAAAATTTCCTCATCGGGCTGAGAAGTATGATATATCACGACATGGTTTCCTTAAAATCGAAAAGTCGCAGATAACCACACCCACTGGGGGCGTGGTTCATAAATTTTAACTATTCAATCGTAATGTCCTCATCGAGCTGAGAACAATGATATGTCACATGACGTGGGTTCGTAAAAATCTAGAATTCGCCGATTACCACACCCCCTGGGGGTGTGGTTTGTAAATTTTAACCATTTAATCTGTGAAAGTGGCACATGTCGCTTTGGCGACTTGTCCATAATTCGTGACAAAGGCATATGTCATCCCAAAAATCAGGTTCATAACCCGTGACGATGACATAAAGAACGTCCGGGAATGAATGGGAATGCGCGCTCTAGCGAGTATATTGACAAATCAATAAACCCGCGAACTATAATAATTTAAATTTCTGAAAGCCCACTTCATTAGGGTCAATTTGGTATATCACTCTTAAATTTCAAAAATGGATAAGGGTAGAAGAAGCTTGTTTGAAAGGGAGCTGTTAGCAAAACGAGTGATGGAGTTCTACAACACGACAGCCAACCGAGACTCCAAGGTGACCTGGAACTTTTTTAAGCAGGAAGGAATTCCAAGTTCAAATGTGTATTCCTACATAAAAAAGTTCAAGGATTCCGAAAATGTGCAATTCAAGAAGCCAGCTGGTCGTCCGGCGAAGCTAGCGACCACTCGAGTGAAAAATAGAATTGAAAAAATTTTCAAAACCAAGCCATCAACGTCAGTAGCTGTAGCTGCCAGGAAAGTCAAAATTTCCAAAAGCTACCTGGGGGAAATTAAGGTCCATAAATTAGGAATCAAAGCAAGGACCAAAAAACCTGCACCAAATTACAAGCCCGTACAAGAAAGTCGGATCAAGGATTGCTGTCAAAAATTGTTGAAGAAAATGCGTGGAAAAGTAGTGATCCTGGATGACGAAACGTATGTTCCGGTTGACCCTTCAAATCTTCCAGGGCGTCATTTTTTTCATAGCTCGGATCCCTCTGAAGTGGCTTATGAAGAAAAAGTACGAAAAAAAGACAAATTTCCAAAGAAATATTGCATTTGGCAATGCATCTCCAGTCACGGACATGTATCAGACCCGGTAGTTCTCGAAGGGAATATCAATCAAGATATTGATCTGAAAAATTGCGTCAAGGCTGGATTGGAAGCATTTATTAATAGGTTTCACAAAAATGATAAAGTTTTGTTTTGGCCTGACCTCGCCACTTGTCACTATGCAAAGAAAGTGACCGAGTACCTCAGAAAGAAAAATATTGATTTCGTACCAAAAGATATCAACCCACCTAATGTACCCCAACTCCGCCCAATCGAAAAATTCTGGGCACGTTCTAAGTCAGTATACTCCCGGCTTCAAGATGTGCCTGACACCTTTCGAAAATTCAAAGGACGATGGAAGAAAATCACCTCGGAAGTGGCAAAAACTTCGGGAAAAAATTTAATGAAAAATCTTCGCAAGAAAATCGAACTAGTCGCCAACGGGGGTGTGGCGGCCTTAGCTATTAATTAAATTATGTAGGTACGTATTTGGTATTATACATATGCAAAAAGTTTAAAATTCCGATAACTCATTGTGATTTTATGACCACATTTTCAGACCATTCCCATTCATTCCCGGACGTTCTTTATGTTGCCACAGAAAACCTTATCTTAATTCGTGACGTAGACGTTTGTCGCTCTCAGGCAAATTCGCCATAATTCGTGACGTCGACATTTGTTTTTAGCCCGAACCAAGGCTTATGTAATTGTCATGTCCGTCCGTCCGTCTGTCTGTCTTTCGGTAACTCTGGAACGAGTTGGCCGATTGACTTGAAATTTTTACGAGATGCATATTGGACAAAGTTAGGAACCGAATTCGAAGATGGACAAAATCGGTCCACTGGTTGACCCGTAGGGGTCGTCTGGGTGGGTGGGGTATTATGCACCAAAATTTCGAAATTTTCGTAGAAAGCTGAAATTTGGTGCAGAGGTAGTAAATGGGTCCTAAAGGAAGAATATGAACTCAAATTGGTAAAATTTTCATATGGAAGGGTCCTATTGGGTAACCCATACTGATTTTTCAAAATCATCATATCATGCTGAAATTTGGCATTTAGTTTTCTTATGGCTCTTAATGGAAGAGTATACATTGGAATCTGAAAAATTTTCATCTGGAAGGACCCTAGGCTATGGGGTGACCCCACCAAGTTTCAGGAATTAACATGGAAAGCTGAAATTAAAACCAGAGATACTTACTGCCTTCTCATGAAATAATTTAGGAAGTTAAATATGAACAAAAATTGGCCAGAGGGACACTAGGCGGTGGTCCACACCGATTTCTAAAAATTTATATAATCAGCCAAAATTTAGTATGGAGTCAAAACATAACGTATCTCATGATAAAAATCTATTCAATTCCACGTCATATTCTTTCATTGCAGCAAATCATTATCAACTTTCATACAAATTTTGAATTTTCGTCACCCTTGACCCCCACCGGCCAACCACTTGACCGATCGAACCAGTCTTCGAACCCGAGTTGTGTATTTGGATGGTTTATATGTGTGGAAAATTTCAAGTCGATATAAAAAGAGTTAACGTGGGACCACAGAACTATACTATTATATCGCGTGGGACAGACGGACAACACTGGTACACAAGCCCTGGGTCGGGCAAAAATTAAAAATTTTGCGAAAAAAGTTGTCACGGAGTACAATATTTGACTGGCATTTTTGGTTACGAATAATGATCCCTTAGAAATAAAGCTCCCTCACGAATTAAGGTAACTCTACTGTCGCCTGGTGACACGAATTATGGACATCGTAACTTTTACTTGTCCTCTTAAAATGGTTAAGTATTCAGTCGTAACGTCCTCATCGTCCTGAGAAAAATGATATATCACATGACATGGTTTCATTGAAATCGAATAATTTCTGAGAACCACACCCCCTGGGGGTGTGGTTTGTAAATTTTAAGTATTCAGTCGTAATGTACTCATCGTCTTGAGAAAAGTGATATGTCACATGACGTGGGTTCGTTAAAATCTAGAAGTCGCCGGGGACCACGCCCACTGGGGGTGTGGTTGGTGAATTTTAAGTGTTCAGTCGTCACGTCCTCATCGTCCTGAGAAAAATGATATATCACATGACATGGTTTTATTGAAATCTAAAAATTTCTGAGAACCACACCCACTGGGGGTGTGGTTCGTAAATTTTAAGTATTGAGTCATAATGTCCTCATCAAGCTGAGAAGAATGATATGTCATATGACGTGGGTTCGTTAAAATCTAGAAGTCGCCCAGGACCACACCCACTGGGGGTGTGGTCTGTAAATTTTAAGTGTTCAGTCGTAACGTCCTCATCGTCCTGAGAAAAATGATATATTACATGACATGGTTTCATTGAAATCGAAAAGACGCCTGTGGCCACACCCACTGTGGGTGGGGCATGCGACCCCTTGTACAGAGTGTCCAGTGGGTCGAGGAATTTTTTCGACATGCAACTCGATTTTTGCGCTTTCAAATTCCGCTGTATGCATTAATTGTATTTTATGCAGTTTTGACCTAGTGACCTTAATTTCGAGGGGGTGTGGTCGAATTTAAAAAATCTGGAAATCTATATTTCGCCAATTGACCTGGGCTTTCCAAAACAGTCGAAATTTTGAAAATCGGTCAATAATTCATAAAGTTATCCAAGTTTCAATTTCCAATGTTGTTAAGCATTATAAGGTCGGCCAATAAGCCTTTCAGCAAGAATTGTGCTTAATTTTGATTCCTCTACCAAGAACTTTATGGGGTCTGGCCCCAGACCCCATAAAGTATATATATTCTGAATCCTCCCGCCAAGACCTTTCCAATGGTACCTCACTTATGGGGTTACGTGAGACTTGGTTTATTGACCTTTTCCGTTATTGCGCAAAATTTGTTGACCTTGGAAAAAATTGAAAATTTTTGAAGAATCTGAAAATACAATCCATTCAGATCAGTTTTTACTAAATATGAAGAAAATCTATTCAGGATTGATTGATTCAGAGCTATTTCAAGAATGGTGATGGATGAGTCAACTTTGTAAGTTGACCTCGGGTAATTTTCAGGTCATGGGGTAAGGGTAGGGCCTAGCGCTTCAGAAAGACCCTAAAGCATGTCCTGGGGATTGTCCATTGGGCTGTGGGCCTACTGGTTGCTTCACAATGAAGGGAGAAACTTGACAAGTTTTGTCGAAAAACGTAGTGCTTTAACCCATGCCATTACACATAGGGGGTCATGGAAATTTTAAAAACTGACTAAATCGAGTTGTTCAATCCCGGTGAACATGTTTTTGAGCTCAAACACTGGAAAATAAAATAACATGTTTTTTACCGGCGATAGCTCATGGAAATCGTCGAAAGCAATTAATGAACGAAAAATTTACCATATTGACTTACGTTTTCCTCGCAATTTTTGCGTGACGAAATTTGTGGACGTCCCCTAACCTAAAAAGAAGTAAGGAGTTACGAGTTAATTTACAAAAGTAGGTAAATACACTCTTACAAATTGGGGTATGATTATCATTAGAAAATAAAAATATACCCCTGAATATACCGTTTGCATGGTTACAAAAATTTGGCATTGACTTGTTACCAATATACATTCGCTACCAGTGGTAATACATTTCAACAACTCGGGCGACAAATTTACAACCATGTGCGTACAGTCATATGTAAATATCGCAAGTATGCCTTATACGTTTATGTACTTCTGGTGAAAATCATAACCCAATTTCTAAGAGTGTAGCTATTGCAAGCTGCAAATTGCAACATTACCCAAATCCAACGTTATCGCTGTCGCTGTCCCAGGTTTCGCTGATGGTGTCGCTGCTGTCGCTGGCAATCGAACTATTTTCGTACTCGGAAACTTCCTCTCCTTCAGAATCGTAATTTTTGTCGTAACTTTTCCTTGCCCAAGATTGGATTCTCTCCAGTGCGAGGGCTCTACTCGTCCGTAATCGTGAGTTGAAATTGTTTGTCTTTTTTGAGAAACTAATATCGTCAGAAGTTTGACTTCTGAAACAAGTAAAAATTTTGGACCGACGTTTCAAAAGGATTAGTTATTTTTATTCATAAAAGTAAATATTTACGAGACGCTTCTTACTTTCTCTTCCGGACTTTGGATGATCTACTCTCTGCAATATCTAGCCATGGATTTTTGAGGTGGCGATTAAGACGTGAAATATTTTCAAACCATTTCCCACACTCGGAACAACTCGTTGGATTGGAATTACTGATCAAAGTTGAATAAAATTAATTAAGTAATGCCATAGTAACACTTTGGATGTGATTAGTAAATTACTTTCTCCTCGACGAAGCTGCTGTCTTCTTGCACGACTGGCTTTCTTCAGGGTTTTCGTGTCTATCTTGCCAAATATTTTCTTCACTCTGCGAGAAAGTTGGTGGATTTGACGTTTTAGGGTTGAAGAGATGTGTATCTGTATTCTGAGGAGTTGAAAGACTTGTATCGTGACAATTCAGTTCAACGGCGACGTCATTTCTGGATCTGGACGAAACTTGTCCATGCTCCTCCTCCACCACGACTTCTCGCTTTTCACATTTAATGAGTGGAATTGACACTGCGCTCTTTACAGGCCGATTATTTTCGAGGTCTCGTGTACCTCTGCTGAAGTAACACGTGGTCACCTTAGTTTCTCGTCTCAGATTATCGTCAACTGGTGTAAATTTATACTCATCGGATCCTACTACACTCCCACATTCTACTTTGGATTCCTCCACTGTAAATAAATCATCGTTGATGAGAAACTCATCCATTTCCATTTCCACGTTAGATCCAGAATTATTAGTGCTTCCTACTGATTTATATAATTTTTTTACTCGTTTTTTGGGTTATAAAATCTCTGGATAAACCCAAATGCTTAATGGGGATTTGTAGGGTTTTGGGGGTTTTTGCGGGGTTTTTGTAAGATTTTGGGGCAGATTGAAACAAAATCCCTTAAGCTACAATTTAAATCAATTCTAATTAAATTGTCGGATTCATCAAACAATTTTTAGAATTTTTATGTGCGATTTGGATTTCCAAGTATCGTTTCATATTTCCAGGTTTACCTGTTAAACATGAATTTTCGATTCTAATGTACAAGTCAATGATAACGCTTAAAATTTCATGATAAATTCGTAACTTAAATTAGTTTGTCTCCGATATATAATTTTAGTGGTTCAACCTGCCCAAAAATCTACAAAAACCCACGAAAACCCAAAAAACCATGGAAAAGACCCCGGGGTTGGATTTTTTTTAGAGAAACCCTGCTGTTTTCCGTACCCTCATTACGAATTAAAGATTTCAGCATTCTTATTATTTAAAAATGCGTACCATCTTCAATTTCTTGCTTTAACTCCAGATTGGAATCGACATGCTTATTGGCGAGATCATCCTTCACTTCAGACCCGAACGTATTACTTCCAAGTGGTTCTGAAATTTGTAAACAAATTGAAATAAATATTTGCTCGCTTACTACAACCTACATACAGTAAATTATTGATACATCTTATAAAAAATTTAATAAATTGTACCATCTTCAATTTTTTCCATCCTCCTTTTTATCACAGTTCGCAAACAGATCGAAATTTCTAGAATCTTAGTTCTTAACTCAACCAATTTTTGTAGCGTTGAGGAACAAGTTTCGCAAATTTCGACAGATTTTTCCACGTCCTGGAACAATTTCTTCTCAGCGGAACCAGATAACACGACATTTTTCAAAATTTCCAGTTCCACCTCTGTTAAGAAATTTATCTTTTCTCCCACCCCAGAACTTGCGCAGATAAAACAGCACAAAATTTCCGAGCTGGTAGCACCCTTCAAATTTTGATGGGTCGAGATTTTCAACTTTTTATTGTCCTTATTAGCTGGAACATAATAATCACACTTCTTTACAAGCACAACTGAAGAAAGTAAATCTTTTAACAGATTTCCAGTCCCTTTCCGTGATTGAAAATGTTCGGCCATTTCAGAAACTTAAATAATCCTTGTTTCAAATTTAATACAAAAAATATTCGAAGATACATAAATGCTCCGTCGATCAACATAAACGTAAAATAGCTTTGTTTACCCTTCCATTTGAGGGAGGTGCACATATCACGTGGAATTTAGGGGGATTTTCCCCGTAACATATACTGTCCATGTTAAATTTCCCTATCCCATAATGTAAAAGTTGGGTGGATAGGTAAATGAAATGGATTTAAATCTGTTGACGTCATTTGTGTACGAGCCCTTGCCTCGTGGCAACCGGCGAAGAGAGAGTTATACTGAAGAACATCCAACACTGCCACCACCGCGCGGTGGTGGCGGAGATGGGCTGGACTCTTTGTCGTCATTAAGCGTTTTTTCCATGAAAATAATAAGTGCGGACCTATGCACTGACGTGTTTAAGGTTCGATTTCATAATGGTGTAATCTCCATAAGGCACATTGCCCCATCCCTCCAGCCAACTTTCACCCTCCCCACCGAAATTTCGGGAAAATTAAATTTAATGCAGGATTTGGATAGTGAGTGAAATGGAGCGGGTTTTTGAAATTCAAATTTATCTCTTCATAAAGTACGGACGTGTGGATTCATTCGAATTAGTTTTGAATGATATAATAATCCAAATTGTGTGAAAAACAGGCTGTTTTTCAAAAGTGGGCAGTTTTTGAAGAACTTCCCCTTAGGATTTGGCTCCCCGGGCAACTTCGGGGCCTGGTATTGAGTAAAACATGTCATTGTGTGATAAGTTGTTTGAATCAAACGACAATGATAGGAAGAATAAGGTAGATAAAAAGAATAAAAAAGTGCAGCTCGAATGTGATCCGTTTTGTTTGGGAATTAAGAAGAATTACAATATGAAATACTAACTTGATTTATTGATGTGGTTTGGGTTTTTGAGTCTGAGGCTACTTGTCTTTGCGAACTGCGTGAACCATGCGTACATAAACCTTTTTAATGCTAGATCGTATAAGTAATATAGCGAGAGTTGGTACATGCATAAGTTAGGGAGAATTTAGCAAATGTTAACTACATATAAATAACGATAGAACATGAAATCACCAATTTTTCTTATGAGATTTCCAAGAGAAAACCAAATTGCATAAGGATATACAGAAAATAATTATAATACTATATAATATAACTAAAATATATGTAACTATACCTAGTAGGGACAATTGTAATGACCAACGGCTTCCGCGCGCCAAAAAAATTAGTAGGAGCTATGTTAGACAATTGTAGTATTTTTTATTGAAATGCCCATGCAATTGTCTATCAGCAACCATGTTCAGCAATTTTTTGTGACCCGAGGTGCTAAAATGACAGATCAGCCAAACTGACGTGTTGCAATTTTTCTGAAACATTTTGGTAAACATAAAAATCCGGCATTTTTCAATAGCTCAATAAAAATCGGAAATAATAGCAAAATGGTCAACCGTTGTACAAAATGATCCACTAATACTAGCAGTGTTAATGAGTGAAATAAAAGTTAAAGGGAACGGTCAAAAGGGTAACAAAAAATCACGAAGGCGCGGAAGACCTGAATTCGACAGAATCCATGCCGGAGTCAAACAAAAATTTTTTTACCAATGAACGGGCCAAGTAAAACTACGTCCCAGGCCCCTAAACTCGACCTTGGACTTATGTTTTTCAGGTGTGAAGAGAAACACTTGCTAACTTCACGCCAAGTAAAAATAGGACCCTCAAAAGCCGGGCACTGATCATGCGGTACGCGCTTGAAAAATGGAAATAAGTATTTTTGAAAAATTAGTAAACTTTCATAATTGAGGCTACATAAAATCAGCAAAAGCACTTTGTCCACAAAAAATTATAAAAGTAGTAATCAGACCCACCATCTAGATTCTGTGATTTTTTTATTCGGAGTTAATTGGATTTGGTCAAAAACGTGAATTTTCTTCCTCTGGGGGTGAAAATTATTGTCAAAAGATATTTGTTGAAGTTATCGACCGAATGGGAGAACCACTGGACCACACCCTATTAAAAAATACCTAATAGATGTTCGAGCATGACTCAGGTCCTCCCCATAAGTTCAAAATAGTAAAAATGGGGTAGAACTCTAAAATTTCTGACTCCATTTCGGATCAAGAACAAAAATTCACTGTCGCCGAACCTCAACCTTCTGGAATATGACATGTGGTCCAAACTGAGGCTAGATACATGTGCTAAACCACATAAAAGTTTGGAATCCGAGAAAAAATCTATCGCTTAGAAATGAAACCAATATGCCTTGGAATGAGTGCGTACCGCGAGTGAGATGTGCATACAAAGACTTCGGGCTCTTGTAGCTTCAAAAGGAGGAAATTTTGAAAACTAGTTAGTATATTTTGAAGGGAATTTAATGGGCTTTCTCGTGGTATCATTAGTTTTCCAAAATTCCATCAAGTGGGTTCCCTACATTAATTTATGTATTGGTCATAACAATTGGCCGCACCAGGTAATACATATGTATCATTCGTACGTTAATAGATAATTTTATTAACTTCAATGCTAAAATTGTATCCAAAATATTTTCTATATGAAAAACAAAGTTTTAAATAATGTTTATAAAATACATACATACTGCCACTGCCAGCACTAATGATATAAATATTTATTATATTATTCAATAGCATTTAAGCGAAACACCTGCGAATTATACCGCTCTTTTTTACAATCTACATACACAGGGGTATGGAAATTATTCACCAATTTATACATTAAACATGCAATGACAACCATAACCATCTGTAATTTTTTTAATTTTACCATAATCACAACTGTTTGGTTGTATCCTTCCAACTGAATAATTTAATTAAATCTGCCCAACGTATGTTAGTCACCTCGTGACCCGCGAGGTTAAACTTGTTATTGCAGAGACGAATACACGCGTAATATAAAAAATACTTACAATGGAGGCGGAAACCATGTTCAGCCCAGATAATTTGGAACAATACGGGCAGAAGGACCCCTCTCCGATCGACCCCTCTCCGATCGGGGAATGTGATATGTCAAAATGTCGGGTTTTTCATGCTGATCAAGAATATATAAATTTTTTAACCGGCAAATGTATATTAAGGTCACAAAAAAGGTCAAAGGTCAAAATTTTTTATTGCATTTTTGGACGTTTCAGGGCATTCTAAGACTTTGTCTCACTTTTCCCCATGGCGGGAATTTTTTTGGGGTGACATGAGATTTCTAGTGTCTAGCTAGGATTGCTAGCTAGGACTTCTAGCTAGGTTTGCTAGCTAGGACTGCTAGCTAGGACCGCTAGCTAGGATTGCTAGCTGGAACGCTTTCCGCGTACCTAGTATATCTAACCTGACCTGCTCGCTTCGCTCGTTTAAAAACGAACAATACCCCAATATTGGGCAAAATTACGATAATCGATGATCCACTTAGCCCCAAATCTCATAGTGCCCAAAAAATTTTACACTTTGCAGAAAAATGATAGACATTCGACATTCGACAAAAAACTAGAAATCTCATGTCACCCCAAAAAAATTCCCGCCATGGGGAAAAGTGAGACAAAGTCTTAGAATGCCCTGAAACGTCCAAAAATGCAATAAAAAATTTTGACCTTTGACCTTTTTTGTGACCTTAATATACATTTGCCGGTCAAAAAATTTATATATTCTTGATCAGCATGAAAAACCCGACATTTTGACATATCACATTCCCCGATCGGAGAGGGGTCCTTCTGCCCGTATTATACCGATAATTTTTTGACCTTATTAGTTTGAAAATGTTCAGCCCAGATAATTTTTGGACCTTGTTAGTTTGAAAGAGCAAGTCTTTACAAACAACATTTGGTTCGGCACTTTGGCAGATGCGCAAATTTCAGCACATTATGGGCGCCGCAAGTTCGCAAAAACGCACGAAGTTGAGCTTGCGCTGGGCATTGCCCGAAAAATCGTGCGTTTTTGCGAAACTTGCGGCGCCCATAACGTGCTGAAATTTGCGCATCTGCCCAAGTGCCGAACTAAATTTTGTTTGTAAAGACTTGCTCTTTCAAACCAATAAGGTCCAAAAATTATCTGGGCTGAACATGGTTTGCGCCTCCATTGCTAGTATTCCCCGAGACTTCTAAAAACTCATGTGAATCTGGCCAGTTCCGGTTTCTGACAAAGTCAAAAAGTTAAATGACATCATATCTTTTTTAATTGGATTAATTTGCATTATAATGCATTGTAATTGGTACTATAATCAAATATCCCCAAATCTCGTGAAAGCCCATGAAATATGACCTCACACTCGAAAATATTTCACATGCATAATTTAAAACATCGCGTATAAATTGACATGCTTCTTCGCATTTCAATCATTCTTTGTCTAACATTAGAAACTCAAACATGGTTGGCAAACATGGTTCCGCGAATTTTACCTTCATTGGAATAATTTTCACCTTGTGGGTCACCACTCTCGGGAATGTTTCGGGACAAATTGTTCCTGTTCGAGGTGGTACCCTCAACGAAACGAAACTCCGACAGTCCGCCTGTTTCTGTGGGGTCGTAAGTTACACTAATTTCTCTAAATGCAAAAAAATGCTTAAAAAGTTAATTAATATTCAATCTATTTGCAGTCCAGGGTGCAAGGTAGCTCTCGAATTATTAACGGATCACCCGCCGTCTTTCTCGAAATTCCATGGCGGTGCGCTATCTACTCTCCAACAAACCACCGTTTTTGCAGCTGCACTATAATCAGCGAAAGCATGGTAATGAGTGCGGCTCACTGCTTTGACGGATACACGGGTTCTGATAAGATTAGTGTTTTCGTCGGTTACATTGACTATTACTCCATTTCTGGGCAATGGAATGCCGCCGACTCATACGTCCAACATCCATCCTACAATTCAGACACGCTCGTTAACGATATTGCATTGGTCCATTTGTTGTTTCCGCTCAAATTTTCCCCTTCTATGCAACCGGCATGTCTCCCATTTTCTTTGAAGGGCCAAACTTTGGAGTCTAATAGAGTCACAGTTTCCGGTTGGGGTAGGAACAATTATTCGGGATCGATTTCTCGTTCATTGATGAAGGCAGTGATGACCATTGTGCCATATGCTGCCTGTCAAGAAGCATTCACAAATTACCCAATGCTAGGTAACAATATTTGTGCAAGTGGGACGGGAACAACTTCATGTTTTGGCGATTCGGGGGGCAGTATCGACTTGGTCGTGAATGGGAGATCGTACGCTGTCGGAATAACGAGCATAGTTCATGCAACATGCGACACTAACTATCCGAATATCTTTACCAGAGTGTCAAATCATTTGGATTGGATTGTCGATATTACAGGAAAGTTCGGGGAGCAATTGTGTCAAGCTTGAAATATGCCCATTACATATTTAATATTCTAATTTGACTTGTTGTTATCAGGCCATGCATGTGGTAGATTCACTTAGTTGCATTAGTAAAATTTAAATTCGAATTGAATTTACAAGTAGGCATAAATTTTATGAAGTTGGCATTGCAGCACCTTCTTGTAGCAGTGTTTCGAAATATCACACTTTATTTGATATTTCCCATCGCATCAAGGTCATAGAATATACGTGCATCCACGAAAATGCAAAAATGTACATATGTATGTAGGTATTTTTATTTTTATGCGTCACCAATATAAAATTTGTGAGATTAAAATCGGAGAAAACCATTCGGTACTTACGCATTAACGTGATTTTTTTTACTCTTAACGAATACAATTACATATACTAACTAGTATTATTTTCTTAGTACAGTGTTAAAATCTGTTAGCTGTCGTAACTTATGTATTTTCAAAAATACTAAGGATATGAAGTAATAACGAATTTCGGTAATGTAACATAAACATGACTTCATGCATACGTAACTTAATTTTTAATTTTTTAAATAAATTTTGTTAAGTATTTTTATTTTTGATCAGCCATTTCTGCGGTTTTCGAAGATTATTACTTGATTTTATTCGTCAAAATTGCCAGCTTTCTTTCTTCTTTCTTTCTTTGTATTTCATTTTCTCTTGATACCCTCCCGCCCCTTTGCTACGCCGCTGGTCGAAACCTATACCAAAATGACCACAACACATGATTTATTCCTCAAACCGAAGGAATTTCCATGTAAAATTCACTTTGACAATATTTATGACGAGCGTATGGTATTCCCCATCTCTTTTCTAATGACCAAATTTTGAATTCAAATCTTCCCGCCTTGTGAGAAAAATCACTCCAACTTGCACAGTGCCGTAATGCAGATATTGTTTGCCGTTAAATTTTCACTTACTTAGTAAACAAAGACCATGTGGGATACGGCACTTGTTCCATATTTCCCCAAGTTATGGTGTGGCTGCATTTGTGCGGCGGTCAACATATGTAAGTCAAATGCACAATATATGACCTTCAATAGCATAAATCGTTAAAAAGCGTCGGCCGTTGGACATGCAGGTCGAATATATAAATATACATATTCTCTGCAAGGAACTTCAAACTTCTTTCTCGGCTTTTTTGTTTTGATTTAAATATTTAAAATTATAACCGTAATCATTTCCGTGATTGGTGATTTTTGATTTTAAAAACTTGGTTTTAAAAAGTTCATACAATATGCGAAAAATCTAGAATGTTTTTTATGTACGTGGTACTCAATTTTTGAAATTGATTGAATTATGTATATAATTGTTTTCAAATTTTACACAAATTTTTGAAATTATAATTTAAAAGATTTATAAGTTGTGTAAGTTATAGTACTGTTCGTACCTAAACGTAATTTCCGGTTTCAATTGTACTCTGAAGGTGAATATGGCTATTCGGATTGAAAAGTTTTGTGCCACAATTTTTTTGGACAATGATTTCTTTGTTGAATATTTTTAGTTATTCTTTTTCTAGTCAATTGAAGTTAAAAAATTTTATATCACAATCTCTTTCTTAATCTTAACCATTGATCTAATAAATAGTTACCAGGCGTGAATACATTTATATTCGCAAAGCGAAGAAATTATCTCCTACAAATATATCCCCTTTTGTTGTACATGTCTTGAAAGGCAAAATTATGTATATAAATGTTTCGCATTTATTTGTGAACGAATTGACACAGCCACCACATAAATTCACACTAGAGTTACGCAAAAGAATTACGTCTTTGTTTTTCATTTGGCTAGTCATTGAACAAATATGATGTTATACTAAATTCACGTAACTGGATGTAAGAAATTGATAAGACTTCTGACCCCGATAAACATGTTTGTAACGATAAATCCCGATGCCATCCTCTGTGCTACCCCACAATTTTGTTTAAAAGACATTTTCACTTAAAAAGTAAGTGTACTATAGAATTTTATAAGGGAGGTAACGCAATAAAGAGGGTAGCTCAAGATAACAAACGATTAAGAATTTCTGCACCTTTCGCCATTCAGTTTTGACCACAAGATTAGAAGAAATATGCTCGGTTAAAAACAATGCAAAGGTTATAAGTAGTCCCATAAACAGGACCTTAAATAGTTCAGTGATGTTTCCCTTCATGACCAAGGGAGCCGGTCCTGTTGTTATTCTTTCGTTTTTGTCGCGCTGTCGTAGCTTAATTGTTCTTGTAGCATACCACACCCATTTCTCTGCAATATTTGAACTGTCAAGTGCCTTAAACCGCATGACAAATGAAGGATCCACAATGTTCCTCGTTGCCCAGCCGAATTTAATGGTGGCGATGCTTTCTTTGCCAAGGGCATATGCAGGGCCAGGATGGACCCTCTCAAGAAAATCCTTTGCTTCCTGCAGCTTCCCCTGCCAGCCTAATATAGCTACTTTGTGTCCCAAACAGGAAAATTCTTTTGGAGAATTCCAATAATCTAATTTGTTGGGTCGTGTTTCATAATAAAATTTTCTCACAAGCTTAGAAATCCTTTTATACGCAGATAACCTAATCAACATTCCCATGTTAGTTAGAGCGAAGGTCACCGCGACGGAGTGAGCCTGGGCGTTAATTGACCCGCAATATCGATGAAAATCTTGACAAGTTGCGGGAGCCCCGCCGTCTACAAACGTGAAGTTATTTTCGAATAGTTGACTGAAATTTTCATATGGGACAACTTTCAATGGTGATACGGTATTTGTCACATTGTCACCCCGGATCAAATTCGTAATAACCAAACCTGTTAAAATCCAGGGTGCACAAACAAAATAGAGAAAAGTTTTATTCTCCTGATTCACAGCATGAGGGTCGGATTGTTCAAGCAAGATGCGATATGACGTGGTTAACCCATCAACTGTGGAAATACGATTGCGTGACGTAACCAATAAAAACAAAGCCAATAAGACAGAGGTGCCACATATCCAGAGCTGGGAAAATCTAGATTAAAATAATCAAGATTAAGATTAAGATTAAGAATAATTAATCTTAATCCATAATTTTAATCAAGAAATTTGATCGTATTAATCAATAATTTTAATCTTAATCTCACAAGTCAATTTAATTAATTTAATTTTTAATTTTTAATCTTTGAATCTTCGACTTTAATTTTAATCACGATTTATATTATGATTAAAATCACGCCATCTGTTACTCGACTCCTTGTAAATCTCTAAATTTCAACGCACGATCGTCTTTCAACACTGGAACAATTTTTAAAAATCAAAACAATTCTAAATTTCTGACAGGTTCCCTTTTTTTGAAAGTAACGTTATTTAAAACTGTATTCTTTAAAAAGATTAAAAAATTTGCTGCCATTAAAAAATTAATTTAATTAAAACAAATTAAGAGTTATTATTTTTTGAAATTTAAAAACGCGTTGCATTTGAGGTGAGACTAATTTTTACTCGTATTACAAGTTATTGTATTCGCCTTAAATTTAGCTGATAAAAGTTTAATAATTTTGAATAACAATTTTGAAGCACCGATACTTCATACTTTTCTCAAATTTTAGAATTTACGATATAATTATAATATCGATGCAAACTATAAAAAACGGCGATAAAATAAAATAATTCTTAATGACTATTATATTAATCTAGATTAATTAATCTTTAATCTTTAATCTGTGTCATAAAAATAGATTAATTTAATCTTAATAATTTAATTTAGTAGCGGAAGAATAATTTTAATCTTAATCTTAATCTCTGATTCGGGGATTTTTAATCTCAAATCTTAATTTTTAATCTCGAAACTCATTAATTTCCCAGCTCTGGATATGTCAGTGACATATCCAGGCCCAAAGATTAGGAGTGAAGACGGTAATCAATTTATCTAAAGACGTTTTCGGATAGCGGTGTGGAGCACATGTCAGAAATCCAAAAGACTCTGTTCCCTTAACAATTTTGACTGCGAATTTCGTCATTGTCTTAATTGTTGGCATATTTTTAACCCACATTCTACATTTGGGGAATAGAAAAAAATTTGCCCTCGGCGTAGATAACTTACCACTCAATTTACCTAAACACCGGGAATTACCAAATTCAAGGGTTGTATTACCTCCCGCCGCCAGGTGAAGTAGTACTATATCCACTGTCATTGTGTCCTTTAGAATTTCTGAGAAATGAATATTTTTGACACTTGATGGCCACTTTGTTTCAGTAATAACACATGTGGGGACACCTGAATCAATTTTTCTAAAGTTGGCTATCTCCTTGTCTAGTTGGGGTAGATCTGGTACCCAACTTCCAAGATTATGACATAAGCAAGACCGAAAACATAGTTGTAATTGAAGTATGAGTTTGTCCTTAACGTCAAGTATGAGTTGTCCCCATATTGAAAGTGTCAAGGTTCCCACTATTGGTTCACCCAGTTAAAAATGAATTTTGCACATGTAAAAATCACAAAAATTGGCAAATTTGGTAAGCTTTCTAAAACCGAAAACAGAATTTGATTATCTCTTTTCGTTGAAAAATGACAGCACAAAATTTAGAGGAAGTGGAAAAATTAGTTTGCCACTTTATCAAAAAAGTGTATTTCTCGGATCGAAAAAGAGCACATCACCACTTCATTGTTCAAGGGATGGGCCGGACAAAATCAGTCATACATTAGACATATCCAAGGATCGCGAAAATGCAAATTATAAAATTTGGCTTTGTCAACCAGTCCGCCAGGACACGAATATACTCACGCGAAACGTGAAAAAATCTTTCTGATGCAACACCAACATATCCATGAGGCTTGCACCCAGACAACTAAAAATTTCAAAAACCTATCTTCGCAGGATCAATGCTAATAAGATGGGCTTCAAAACGTACAATATTAAAACCGTGCCAAAGTACAATCAAGATCAAAAAGGAGGAGCCAAAGCTATTTGTGAAAAACTTGTTGAGAAAATGTTAAAACTGACACCCCGAAGTTTAATGTCATGAATTGTTAAAACTACGACCCCGTTGACCTCGAAACGTCAATCGTGTAAAGTTCTGCTCATGTGGAAGTAAGAATGACGTTCGTTCGAAATTTCAATTCAAAACCAAGCAAAATTTCGGATGAAATATATAAAATGGCTGCCGATCGACAAAAATGGGGAACGTCTCAAATCGATTCGCCTCCACCAAGAATTTGAACTTTTGGATTTATTTCAAAGAGTGTATCATCAGGAGATTGACCCCCTCCATCAAAAACAAACACGTTTTATTTTTCCCTGGTATGGGTACGTACCAGAATGCCAAAATAATGACCAGGTACCTCGAAGTGAAAAAAATTGATTTTGTCGATAAAATA